TTTATAAAGCGAAAGAGGTACCTACGTAGGAATCATACCAATGGGCGTTCTATAGTCTTTGCGAACCCCTATCGGCGACAGGGGTGAAGTTATGTATGTATTTTTTTAACGTTTCTTACAACAATACTATCATGGGTTGTTAAAATTTCAGAGTCTCAAAATTAGTGATAAAATAATGTCTGTAACTAATTTTAAAAATGAAATGATACAAAGGTATTCTTTAATTGGTTCCCTTCAGAATTCTCATCCATTGCAAAGGCAGAACGAAGCGTACCACAAACCGATCAGTACAGCGGCTACCGACAGATTTTGTGGATTTGCGATTGTGCAGGTAAATCAATTATTTTAAAAGGATTTTGTTTTAAAATATTACTTTTGATATAATATTAATTTATGGAATGAAACTGCAACTTAAAGGTTTATTAGAGAGCGTATCTGATTCATACTTTTTCTATCAAAGAGAATATAGCGTATAACATCTTAACACGTTTAACGCCATGGGGGTCACCGGTATCCGACGTTACTGAAGATTTGCCTTCAACAGTCTTTTAATGGCAGTCAAAGCCATAATCTTCTTTTATTTTACACCCAGACGTAGATGTAGGGCTAGTTCAAAACATTTTAGAAAATCCTAAAACGAATATTGCAAAAGGGTTGTGTGAACTGGTGAGGGTGACATAACTTTTCTGATATCTAGACCTTGTTAATGATTCCCTTTCAATTACATACAGCATATTTTATTAGATAAGGTACAATGGGGTTGACTTATCCATATGGCAGCTTGTGTGCTCACAGCGAAATATGCATATGGCATCAATTTTTTTTATGCCATTTGCATATTTGACTGCTCCCGCCTGGGTCTGGCGGGAGGGAGTGTCAGACTCTTAATGACTAAAAACCACCCCGTTCCTTCTCCTGCACGTCGAGCCGGAGCCACGGTTACCCGTTAGGTTCTCCGCGACATCGAATCGGCATCAGCCCTATTGGGCCTCATCTGATCGAACAAGGGGTTCGATACACGTTAAACATTCGTGTGGCGTGTCTGTCAACATCAAACCACTGTAATACAGCTTTGTATCTATCTATAAACAAGTTGTATTGTATAAATGTTCGTCAGACAGTACAGAGTACAGACGGTTGCAATAAAGTTGGCAGCGCAATGGATGCTGGAATATCCTACCTGCGGTTATGACTTTACCCAACTCTTGTTAGGGTTGAACGGACTCTAAATATTGTTCTAGAAAAACTTTTAGGACGTTTTTCTCGGGATACAGGGTGTTTTGTTTCAAATCATTCATGCATTATTTTAATGTAATATGTTTAAAACAGGGTATTGTTGTTTATAATGATTGCCGCAAATTAAAGAAAGCAAATTTTTAGTATCAAGTTTTGTAATAAGGTACATTATTAACGCTTTTTATTTGTTTGTCATTCTTTCACGTTGCAACTAAGCATTTATATGAAATTATTTTTATGACAAGAGATTGGTATAAGGCCTCTTTTTGTGCTTTGGGCAGAACAGTGAATTCGGGAGCGGAAAACTTCAAGGTATTTAAAAAATATCTTGTAATTTGTAAGCGCGTCAACCCTACGTTATATGATAGCTCAGGTTTATGAGCGACGCCATTTTTTATACAATAACGCTAATTGCGAGTAAGTGAGTAATGTGTCCATCTAAATTACGAGACAGGTAGTAACTTCTATTCTGTATGAGTGCTGATTGATTGACTGACTTGTCGACCGAGTGATCTCAAGTGTGACTGCCGGGTTTTTCAGAATCGATTACCAGGTCGGGTATAGTTTTACTGAGTTTTAAAAAAATAATCTCAGTCGTAGCACGGAGTGTGGAATTGTGCCCGGTGTCTGGCAATGGCTATTACATGAGACTCATAACATAAATAGTGAAAAATGGGTGTTACATTGCACAGTGGCATTAAGTGTCGTAATGTGCAACTTTGTCTACCTTATGTATTTTGTATGATTGAATATGGTTTTGTAGTATTGTTTCGATAGTATGTCGCTTGTAACCATTTTTGGTGGGACAATATATAACAGATGCTACAAAATTGTGATGGGATAACATCATGGATTTTATTCCTCGAAGGGTTTTTTAAGGGGAGAAAATCATCGTATGGCAGCTACCGCCTAGGTAAGGCGGGAGGGAGTGTCAGACTCTTACTGACTAAAAACCACCCCGTTCCTTCTCCTGCACGTCGAGTCGGAGCCCCGGTAACCCGTTAGGTTCTCCGCGATATTCCTTGAAGTGTAAGGTGCCTGTTACGTTAACTTTACTAACAATATTTGACTAGGAATGTTAAAATTCATTCTACAATACTGACGGTTTTAGAAATATAACCCCACTTGATCGTTGGCATGGTTTTTATAATCACGTGGCAGTCTAAAATTCCATGTTAACAATATCATAGATATACTCACAAAGCAATAAACAAGAAGACACAAAGGAAATGGTTCGCTTCTTAATAGGAAGCATAGCTTGAAGTATAAAGGGTATTATTGTTTAGGTACTCGCACTGGAAAACGGTACAGAAATAATATTTTACTTGATACATCATATTACGTAATATTTCGAAGGAAAGCGGAATTATGGAGTGGTAAATTCTAGGAAAAATATTATTATATACATTTTATAGTCTATTTGGTTAGGTATTGTTATTCGGCGAAATATGTACAGGATGTGAGGATAGGGAAATTAGTGATTTTATTATATTAAGTATATAGGACTCATAATATATTGGTGAAAAGTTGGTGTTACATTGACGATTGGGATAGTGTTTAAGATCAACTCTTTATGTGATCCACAAATTGTTGTTGCGGGTCTGTATTTAAATTTATAGATATTCCGAAAAAACTGTATGTTAAAGCCTCGTATCCACTAGGCAACATTTTACGCGCGACATGTTGCTCAACATGTTTCGCAACTTGTTAAATGTTGACGCGGAACATTTGTTTACGATGGAGGTGGTATGAGAGTAGGATGGAGGAAGAGAGATACGAGGATACGAACAACTAATGATGCACTAAAACAAACAACAAGCCGCGCGTCATGTTGCGCGGCAGCTGGCAACGTCGCCTGCTGTTATGCAGCGTTGCCGTCATGATCATCATCATCATCAACAGCCTATAAATGCCCACTGCTGAGCAAAGCCTCTTCGCACACGAAGAAGGTTTGAGCATTAATCACCACGCTTGCTCAATGGGGGTTGGTGATTTCAAACTTATAATTAGAAATTATAAGTCTAGGTTTCCTTACGATGTTTTCCTTCACCGTTTGTTAGTGGTGTCTGAATGATCTTAGAAAGTACATGTAACTCGGGAAAAGTCACATTGGTACTTGCTGTTGGTAGGTTTTGAACCCGCATCCTCATGCATTAGAAGTGGGCGTCTTAAACCTCCGGGCCACCACGACACGTTGCCGTATATGTTGAGATTCACGTGTCACGCGCCAAATGTTGCCTAGTGGATACGAGGCTTGACACAATATGTTTTCAAAATAAAAAAGAGCAAGATGTTATCTAAAAATAATATTTATCGAGATCAAAATAGCTCCCAGACAATACCTCTAAACTTCAAAGATGAATCTTTGTTATTACAAACAAGTTTAATTTATACAATAACAGATTAGACTAATCATAACCAAATAATGCCAATTACACAATATTGTGTCCTGGATTTAGACAAACAGCCTTGAATGTCTCAAGAAGTCTTATTAATCTTGTTATTGTATTGTTTTCAAGGACAAACCTGTATTGTATTGTATGGCTTAGTGTTGTATTGTGTTGTGATCTTAGGGAACCTGTGTTGGGAAACCTTGAACAGTTATTTTGGTGTTTATCGGAAAACTGTCAAAGTAACACCGATTGGGAAATTGTTAGGCAGTTTAATAATTAATTGTTGTTAAGTTAATACAATTAAATAGCGTCATCATCATCATCAACAGCCTATAGATATTTCCTCAGCAGTGGGCCTGCTGAGGAAATCTCTCTCTCATGGAGAAGGTTTGAGCATTAATCACCACGCTTACTCAATGCGGGTTGGCAATTACAAACTTATAATTAGAAATTATAAGCTAAGGTTTCCTCACGATGTTTTCCTTCACCGCTTGTCAGTATCGAGATAATCTTAAAAAGTACATATAACTCGGAAAAAGTCACATTGGTACTTGCCGTTGGTATGTTTCGAACCCGCACCCTCATGCATGAGAAGCAGGCGTCTTAAACCAGGCTACCACGAAACCCATCAATAAATAGCGAGATGGTTCTCTTTGAAGAGAAAAGATAGTAAAACTAAATGTGCACTGAAATGTACTAATGATAATTTCGCGATGAAATCTTTGTGAGTTCTTTATCGGATCTTATGTAGCACCTAATGTTCTAGCACAGCAATTGATGTTTTTTTTTTATATGGAGGCAAATGAGCAGACGGATCACCTGATGGTAAGCGATCAGCGACACCAGTAGCACCAGAGTAACCTCACTCACACGACGAAACACAACGCAAGCGTTGTTTCACGTCTGTTTTCTGTGAGGCCGTGGTATCGCTCCGGTCGAGCTGGCACATTCGTGCCGAAGCATGACTCTCCCGCACTTAAAGTAGTATTGATTTTTATTACTGATTTTTAGTAGTGCGACTTTGCCAGACTTTGGTCGACATGTCTGGCAACATCAACGTCACTGTGGGCATAAATTGCGCGATGCACTTCGCTCGACATGGCTTGGGACACTAATTGTCCCGTAGTGTATCCTTAGCTTTGTCTACTAACAGCTTACTTAACATACCTACTTAAGTTTTTTACATAATTTATTAAATGCCAGTATTAATCCTGGACATTGTGTATCAATTTACTCGTTTTACTATTTATCTAAATACCATATTTATTGTATATAGGCCATACAGTATAACCAAAATTACTGTGGATTTAATTTTTTTTTTAATTTAAACTTTATTACCGAAGTTTAATTAAAATAAAAAAATAAACTCACCCCAATATGCTGTCCATCAAGGAACAGCTGCGGGACTAAGATCTGCTCGCTCCTCATCCTGTCCCGGATCTCGTCCTGGTACTCCGTGCTCATGAAGACATCCCGTTCTTCGTACTTCACCAGTAAGTTCCTGAGGATCTTCTTCACAAGGACACAACGTTGGTAGGTACTCCTGACGATGCCCATCGTCGTCGTGTACACTACCACTTTGCCTGCATCTTTTTCTTTGTAGCTCTGTGGAAGAGAAGAAAAAGCGAAAGTTAGAAATTACGAAAATTACATCCAATAATAAATTAAGGGAGTTGCTAACACAGGCGAGAATTGCAAAACAGGTCACATCCTGCTGACTCACTGTGATATAGCATAAAAACTAGGTAAATAAAATAAAATATTTCCACCAAATAAATGCGACTAAAGTTTATAAAAAATGCTTTCAGATGTCACATTAATATATTTGAGAATACCGCCATCTATCGCTTAGCAAGAAAACTACGACACAGGTCGCCGTTCTTACTATAACTGGGAAAAGTTGAGTTGAAAGTTCAGTTAATTTCCCAAAGATATCGCTTAACCAAATTTTGTATTTTGTTTAAATATGTTTAAACACTGACTTCAATTCTTTCAAGTATAGTGTAATTGAGTTTTCAATTATAATGATTAAGTTTTAATAGTAGAATACAGAGTTAACCCAAACTTATACTAATTTTAATTATAGGTACCAATTCCAACAGTTTTAGGGAAAAAAACAGCAGTCCTAGAAACCTATTAACATCTAACTGTAATATGACACTCTTGCAATACATCAAACAGGGACAAAATGCAAGACAAATGTATCGACAAACGGTCAGGTGTTAACAAATTCACATGTTTTACGATACAAATAGTCGAATGTTTACGTAACTTCCTATTGGCTGTCTGGTACAGATGAGCACACAAGTTTTATGATAGTTGGGAGTGTCGTTTGTGTTTAATTTGATTAATGTCCGTTTCTTTATTTACGCAAATTAATGTCGGTGCGTCTAACAATTGTCTATAGATTTGTCTATTTTCTAGTTTATATTACGTCGACTTAGCCCTCAAAAATACAGCATAAGGTTAATCACATTAGCCCATCTTGTAATTGTAAGCGTGGTGATTAAAAAATTAAATATTTTTTTTATTAAAAACTTAGTTACTTATAGAAATATTGATCTTTCAATTCCTTTCATAATGTAAACTGAGGGCGTAGCTTTTTTTAAAAATGTTGTCCACACTAAGGTTTGATTAAACGTAAAATAATAAGGTACTAAGCCTTCAGAGCAGAGGCTTACATCCATCTATATACATATAATAAAATCGTAGGAAAGTGAAAGCTGTGCATTGAATATTTTTTTAAAGAATGCTTTGGGCGTGATCTACTGTCGATACCGAAACCAAAAATAAGGTTTTTAGAATTTAGCACTCAGAAACTCAGAAAGTTCTGTATGCAGCACTTCATCATCAGTCCATCAAATTCAAATTTGAAGTGAATCTATGGATTCACTTCATGAATATTACTAACAGGTCGGTGCAATATAAAGGCTACATATTATCAAGCTATCAACTACGGGGGAGGAGCTGTGAATCACTATTCCACGCGGACGATGTCGCTGGCTCAGCTAGTTTATTATAAGTCCTTAAAATCTACACATAACTCTAAACCATGTATGTACTAAAATGTTCAAAGATCTATTAGCATAAACTGTATCAATATCCGTCCAGTAGTTCTGACGTAAACACATAAAAACGTTTTATAACAGTTTTCTGCCCACCAGTACATTATTAGTGAGTATAAATGACGCAACCAATTACGAGCGATGTTCCATCTGTATACGCCCAAAGTATGTATCAGATAGTTAAATAATTATATAACAAGATGTATGTATGTTTGTGTGTAGATGTGACAAGAGACTGGCTAGCTGAGATAGTCACAAATGAGACAGGTGGTTTTGAATGCTAGTTTGAATCAATGCAAACAAAGATGAAGCCTCATTTGGTAGCTGTTTAAATTTTATATTTTCAGTCTAATTACTTCAATTCGACTGCGTGGTTGGTGCGATGGCTGGGCAACCGACTGTCGCGCTACGTGTCGCGGGTTCGATTCCCGCACGTAACAACTCTATGTGTGATCCACAAATTGTTGTTCTGAGTCTGGGTGTCATGTGTATGTGAACTTGTGTATTTGTAAACGCACCCACGATACAGGAGAAAATACAAACGTGGGGCAAAGTTAAAAAAAAAATTAACACGCTCCCCAATCTCCTCAATCCTAAAATCTTAATCCTAAAAGGCCGGGTGACGCACTTGTAACGCCTCTGGTTTTTTAGGTGTCCATAGGCGGCACCGAATGCTTACCACTAGGTGATCCGTCTGCACGTTTACCGGCTTATCCCATAAAAAAATCTTAAGGCCGTATTACCAACTTTAATGCGTTGATAATTTCAGTATATAAGTAAAACCACCTATCAAATTTTCGTGCGTTTAGGCGCTTTTGCCATACCTATTATTGGAAGCAAGTATAACAGCTCACACATAGGACCCACTTAGTAGTAACAAAAGACGTCTATAATACTTTGGCCACCCCAAGAATCGAACCTGGTCTTTTTGATCAGTCGCATTTGCAACCTCTCTACCAATGAGTCATAAACAGTAATCAATCGACCAATAAATGTACGGAAAACAGTAAATACAGTTATGTCACTGAACTGACCAGCTGACATACAGACAGACTAATTACGTCACTGACTAGTACAAGATATGCAACCTCACCATAACAGAATAACACGTGTAACACTTCAGTGTTGCCAAAATAAAAAAGAGGTTTATTACCAATTTCGGTGCGGCCATAATAACGTGATAAAATTGGTATTTTTTCCGGTATGACAAATGTTTTTTATGTAATAATGTAATATAACGAAATAACGATACGTATTTATGAGGTGGTATGTGAATTGTGAATTGCTTTTTGGTGGTATTTTGTATGAGTGACTGATAATGTAACTGCCAAGTGCGAGGTTTTGGATTTTGTTGCCGGAGGTGGCAAAATATCTTAGATCTTTGCTAAACTTATACGTAGTGCGTACCTACTTAAGAGGAAAATACATTATACGGTGACGATTGGTATTATAATTACATAAATAATTATAAATGTAGTAAAATGTGTAAATTGTTAGACGGCACGTTTGGTGCGGTGACTGAGCAACCGGCTACCGCGCAACGTGTCGCAGGTTCGGTTCTCGCACGGAGCAACTCTTTGTGTGATCCGTAAATTGTTGTTTCGGGTCTGAATGTCATATGTATGTGAACTTTTATGTTTGTAAACGCACCCACGACACAGGAGAAAATTCTAGTGTGTGGCAACGTTAACATTAATAACGTAAACGTTCATAAATTTAGTTAGTAACGTTAACGTTAGTAATAAAAAACAAGCCAAAGGGAAATACACGCCAATAACACTTTGTCTCACAGTCAGTCACACTTGAATTTATTTAAATTAAACCATAGTTTGGTACTTTTGAAATGTCAACAAATACAAAATAAATAATAGTCTGTCAGTCAGTCCGTCAGTGAAACTAGGTGAAGCTAGGTGCTCATTCCAAAAAGTAGATTCGAATGGAGAAGAACGAGCAAGAAACTCCATTCGTTACTCTTTTTAAAAAAGTATGTTCTACAATGTCTCTGATACATATTTCAATACTATACGCATATGTAAGAACAATGCAAAGACACGCTTGACGCATTATACTAATAACTAACTAAAATTAAAAAAAAATTAAAATCTTAAAGTCCAACATGGTGCTCACATATATCACACATACTGACTGTATTATCTAAATAAAAATAGTTTTTTATTTACCATGGTTCTATTAGAGAAGCCATGTATTTTAGGTAGTAGGTGGCAGATACAAACAATTTATATGCATCATTGGCCCTTCTTGGAAAACTATCCGACAAATCACTTTCGTTTTCCATAAGAAATCGGAAGTAACAAAGAAATAAATCAACGGTTTTATCTCTCAATACTAAACAGTCACAATATTTTCCACCGCTTACGTCATAATTTCTCCAGGTGGCCATTGCGTCATCATGCCCTAAGACCCCACAGTTTAGCGGTTTTCCAAGCTTGCAACATTTCTTAGATTACAACATTTATAATTTTATAGTTAACGTGAAGAAAATTACTAGAAAGGTAGGTATCCATTTTGTTCTTAGACTTGTCCAATTATGCAAGTTATGCAGTCCGTATGTTTTGTAAGCTTGCAACTGTTTATAGTTCAAATTAGATGTTACGAAAAACGTTAATATGCGTCATCGATTTTAAAATAAATAAATTCAATTTTGTAATAAATAGATGAAATAGTAATATATTATCATTACTAAAAGACCACTGAATTGGAAATATTATTAAAAAGGAGAAGGATACTTGTACTAACATACATACTTAACATAACGCTTTTATTCCCCGAAGGGGTAGACAGAGGTGCATATTACAGCACTTAGTGCCACTGTACAATGTAACACCCATTTTTCACTATTTATGTTATAAGTACCATGTAATAGCATGTATCGAATACAGTTTCAGACTCAGTGCTACCACTAAGATTTTTTTTTAAAACCTAATAATACTTTGCCTGACCCAGGAATCGAACCCGAGAGCCCAGCGGGCAGTCGCCCGATTTTGAGTTTTTAAAAAAAATCTCAGTCGTAGCACGGAGTCTGAAATTGTGTCCTATATATAGCAATAGGCTCACCCCCTATTACATGGGACTCATAACATAGTGAAATGTAGGTGTTATATTGGACAGTGGCATAAGTGCCTTAATGTGCAGCTCTGCCTACTCCATTGGGGATAAAAGACGTGATGTTATATTATCTATTTTCTACCTTATCCAAAAATCATTAAGGCATGATTGCCTAAATCTAAAGCTCTGCTAAATTCAGTCAGTGTTAACCGTGAACAGTTACACACACCACAAACCGAAACCAATTGATTGACCTCATCCATTAACCTTGCATAAAATTGCAAAATGAATTCACACGAAATCATATTTCAAAACTCTAAAAATTCTTCTTAAATATTTTATGTAATTTGGTTATCTATAAAGGCGCGCATTCACTTACGGCCATTTTCTATAACCTATCTATCTATACAGATATATTAAGTTCTATAAAGTTAGCTTTTCTCTGAAACACTAATACGATCTATGAATCTACAA